CCTCCAAACCACCACCTTCCTCCAACCTGTGTTCATGGCACACTGTGCTTACAGAGTGTCCCTAGGGTGTCGCTGGGCAGGCGCTCCAGTGATGTTTATGCACAGAATAAAAAAGAGCTTTCAATATCTTCCCAAATATGTGAAGGGAAAGCCATCTCCAAATTCATGAATTGTGCTTTCATTTAATCTTCTGCTCTCAAGACTAATCAACTGTTTGAGTCCAGACTCTTAATTAAAGTTGTCAGCTCCTGAAAGTTCATTTTCTGAGCTTGAATCTCCAGTGAGAAGCTGCAGATGTGAGAAATTCTAACCAGCTAGGCATTGGTATGACCTTGCCTATAAAAGATTGGGCTTGGTGTATATGCATCAGAATAACCCATTATATCCCACAATTGCATATGTTTATGGCTTGTCAATTAAAAATAATAGCAAGCCAGAGGTGGTGGTACCTACCTACAGTGCTAGCTACTCAGGAGGCCACGCAGAAGGATCACAAGTTTGAGGCCAGCATAGGCAAAGCAGCAAGACTCTTATCTCAAAACAAAATTATATTTTAAAAATAGAACTGGGTGTGTAGTTTAGCGCTCCCTGGGTTGAATCCCCAGTCCTGAAAAAAAATACTAATAAAAATTTTAAGAACTGGGCTGAATGAAGAGACTAAATACAAATGCAGTTCTGAGATTTGTTAATTGCTTTTCACCAAAATAGATTCAACTGTGCGTGGTTTTGTCATGTTTTGTTAACAAGCCATCTTTATTTATTGCCTTAGTGTATTATATGCACTCGAGTAGGAGGAAATAGCCTGTCCCTAGTGGGAAATAAATTGATGTTCTAGAATGTAGATCTTTAAAGTGGTCAAACTCTGTCATCCCTGTGGCTAAGAATCTTGTAGAGGGGTCAGATGGACAGTTGTTATTACTAATATTAGGCCTTGTTTTATAGATTGCTTTATAGCATGCCAAGTTTAGTTTGCCCATATTTTTTCACATTTGGATGATCTAAGCATCTATAATTCTATGATTTCAGCACTTTGTGAATTACCTTTAGCAAAATTTTCTCACCAAATCACCTTCTTCTGTCACTCAACCAAGCAGGGGCCAGATGTCAAAGCTCCAGAATACAGAAGATAAAGTACATGGTTAATCTCACCCTCCAGGGGCTCACATTGCAGGAGATCGAGAAACCAAGGAACTGGAGCTGGACCCAAGCTCAAGCCTTGGGCTTTCAGCTATAAGAAGAGTGTAGATTGTATAAAGGACAAGATTTCTATAAAGCCCCTCACCTGTGGTTCCAAGAAACGGTGAAATCCAAGAGGAAGGTAGCAAATATTGTAGCAGAACTGAGAGCTCTTGGACGAGAAGAAAAAGGTGGCAGAGGATTGAAAATCAGGATGATTCTAAAGAAGCCCCAGGCACTGGGTTTGGGAATTGGCACAGTAGGGTTACACAGATAAGTAGGCTGCCGATGGGTGAGTAGGAAGTGGATGGTTTCTCTTCTGAGAGGCACCAGACAGAAAAGAATTAGAGAAGAGGTTCTGGACCAGAGGCACTTCTCCCCTACCCCAGGGAGCACTGGCAATGTTTGAACACAGTTTTGGTTGTCACATCTTGGAGGTAGGAGGGAGTCCTGCTGGTGTGCCGTGGATAGAAGTCAGAGATGCTGCCAATACCCTAGGCGCACTGAGAGCTCCCACCTCTAAGCTCACCAGCAAGGAAATATTCAGTCCATATTTAATAGTGCCGAGGCTGGAAGCCTCAGAAGAAGCAATGGTTAGGAAAAAATATGGAGATTTGCAGTGTCCCCCCCCCCCCCCGCACCAGCAGCAACACACACACACACACACAAATCAGTAGGACCTGATGCTCCCTAAGACCTGGCATTAGCTGGGAAGAAAGGACAGCGTTAGTGGTCTTCTCTCAACATGGCTGTCAGCGGGGAGAAAAGGAGAGGAAACACTGACCTGAGGATACCAAGTTTCAATCAGGCAGGATGAATACTTTCGGGAGATCTATTGTACAGCATGGTGGCTGTTGTTAATCATACTGGGTTGTATACTTGGAAATTGCTGTAAATCTTCATTGTTCTCATCACACAAAAAGACAAGTATGGATATGTTAATTAGATTAGCTCAGCCATCTCCCAGTGTATTTGTGTACCACAGCATCACGTTGTACATCATAAATACAGTTGGTCCCGAGTATTTGTGGATGGCTAACTACAGGACACACACGCCACACGAAGACACCAAGATTTACAGATGCTGAAGTCCCTTGTATAAAATAGTAATCATCTCACTTTTAATAACTAATACAACACAAATGCTATTAAATGATTGTTGTGTTGTTCAGGGAATAAAAGTGTGTGCATATTCAGTGCTAATGCAATTTTTAAAAAATATTTTTGATCCCAAGTTGATTATGTATCTGAAGCTCACAAATGCAGAGTATATACAATTTCTATTTGACTGTTATACCCCAGTGAAGTGGGTGGGGAGTTGAGGATGCAGAAAGAGAATTCATCTTTGTACTGTCTGTTAAACTGTCTTCTGTCAGGGTAGGAGCCACATATGTCAGCTTTGCCAGTGACCCCAAATATATTAGAAATAAATTTTTGTTGAATGAATGAGTTTTAAAAATTAAATTAGACTGTGCTATCCCCACCTGGATCCCTTATAGATTTGATGAAACACACTAAACTGGTTTTTTGAGGTTTGCTTTTTGAATAAGCAGAGTTTTAGATTTTGATGAAGTCATACCTGTCTATATTCTCTACGATTTCTTCTTCCTACCTTTCAGAATTTAAAAAATCCCTCAAATGCACTCTGCAGTCCTTATCGTAGATCTGATAAATAGGCTCTTCCCTTTTTAAAACCAATTTCTTTCGGTTTGCAGCCTTTAAATATTTACCTGTGTAATCCAGTCTTTCCCAGAGGGTGGTGCAATGATAATATAAGATTTTTTAGGAATTCCATGGATAAATATTTTTGTATTAATGATTTGATGAGTTATTTTAAATGAATATGTAACCATAACATCAAAACTGTATTTTCCAGATGATGTTGTTTAAAATAAGAACAAGTTGATGAGTCCATTTTAAAACTTAAGTGGTTTTGGATAATATGGAAAATGTGATTAGGGATTGAGTATTACTGAAGTTTAGGAAATTACTGGTTAAATCGACTTAAAGTTTACTTTGCTGTCTATAGTAGGATACTCACCAGATTTCCTCCCATCACACCACTAGATTGGTAACCAGGATCTCAAAATCATTTATTACATTTCTCTTTGATAATGATTTTTTAAAGTCATCAATTCTTATCTGCAGGATTTCCAAAAGATCCTTTTTTGTCTCATTCACCTTTCATCAGTCTTGAGTTATTACAGTGCTTTTAATTAGTATGCTGGACTTAATAGCTGGCCCAGTGGCCTTCTCTTCCTACAGGGAGGGCTGATTTTGAGGGCTGGGTCTAGGTAGGGCTAAGAAAGAACCGTGACATGTGCGAAGCAGTACGCACTGCTGATTTCTTGGAGTGCAGTGGGGTACAGTTATAGGACTGCAACTGGTGGGAAGTCCTGAGACTCCAAGTGGGCAGCACAAGAGCTCTGCCTCCCAGAGGGAAATGGAGAAGGACAAGATAAATAAATACAGTTTAAGTTACAATGAGAACTATGATACTCTCTGCCACAACTAGACTTGCAGGGGGAACATTTGGAGGGATATTTGGGGTGAGACACGAGTAAATCCTGATGATTTGTGATTATCATCTGCCTTAAATTAGGAGAAAACTGCCTAATGACAAAACATTGGAAAAACATCTCAGTTTATTAGGACGAGATATGTGTATATAACATATATACACACCATATTACATATATAAGATCACTGATGCTAAAGAAAACAGATTTTAAAAAATTTAAAAGCACTGTGTAAATAAGCCTTTCCCATAAGGACTTCTCATTTAATGACTGGGTTCCCTCAAATGCATAGTTTCCTTTGTGTACTCACTTTGGAGTACAGCAACACCTTGACTGAAAGGCTAAATAAATGTTTTTGAAATGAGTAAAGAACAGAGTACCTCCTCCAAACCACACTTTTAAATCAGTGGGTAAGAATTTTTTAATTAATGAAAATAATCATCTCACTATCTAGCTTTTCTAAAATACAGTAAGTGAGGTACCAGGGCCATGTATATCCATTCATCCCCTACCTGTGTGATAGCAAGGTAGGATGGAACTTTGGGGCCAGGCAATGGAATCTGGAAGAACTGAACAGAAGATGGGCTTGGAAAGGACCTTAGAACAATGTTACCCCAAAACCAACTGCTCCAGAGGAAGGAATATAGGACTCTATTTCCCATCTGCCTTTACCCCAACCCCTAAAATATAACACCATTAAGATTACTTATCCCACCACTAAAAAGCAAAGTGTTATCACATTTGGTCAGAGATCTGTTGAGTTCGCTTTGCTGCCTGTGTTGAATTTCTGGTGTCTCAATTTTTGGACAGAATGTGATAGACATCTCATCACCTATGAATAAATCCAAGATACACCATTCAGCAAGTGCTGAGTCACGCTAAAGCAAGTTCTGAGTCATGCCGAGTGGCTCTGGAACAAGCACTAAGTCATACTGGAGCAAATTCTGAGTCACACTAGCACAGATGCTCGGTCAAGCTGAATCACACTATCATGCAGAATTAACCAGAGGAGGCTAATCCCTAAGGGGTTTATCCCCAGACCCAAATGAAAGTCACAAGTAGGATCCATGGTGCTAATTGAAAGCATTCAAGTGGGAGGGAAGGTATGATCCTGGAGGTCCACTTCCCTGTAAAGTGCTAGGGCTATGGCTGGAACCAAAACACTGCCCATTCTGGAGCATCCAAACTGAGCATTCACGCTCCCTCTGTGTCCTCCAGGTGAGCTGTGGGGGTCTCTCAGTGATTGAAGATGGCTTTGCAAGGAAGAGCTGAGTTTATAAATAATGCATTTCCTTTTTCTTGCAGGAATTCTGGAGGCAGAGGTACAATCAGATCAGCTGTGAACAGCTTACATAGCAAATCTAATAGGTTTGTAAATTAGATTTTGTGTTCATTTGTTTTTGCTGTAAGGCAGCTATTAATCTGCTTCTCTTCTTTGCTGGATGATGCTCTTCTTACTTAGTAAATAGATCTGTTTCTTTTCACTTTGGTTTTACATTTCCCTAATCACTTTTTTTGGGGAGCTGTCGATGAAAGATCACATGAAATAGTCCAAGGTCTAAGATGGCAAGATGGAAAACACAGATGAGTAGGAGATATTTTCTGGAAAAGATCCCACCCACTTTGTAAAGCTTGGACCACCAACTGACATACTCAGGACTTGCACTTTTGTCAAGCAGTGAAGACCCTGAAGGAAATCAGAACTTTGACCCAGTTTCATTGTGGTAGATGGCTGGTCCAGAAGGTTAAAATGGAAATAAAGCACTCAAAAATTTTGCTGAGACCTCTTAAAATGCACAGAGTAATGTTCACCCTGATCATTGGAGGTACATTATTATCTTATGTGACATGACACTGCTACATGGGAAGCCTTTGGGATAGTCCCTACCTAGGGGACAGATTGATGCAGGGAAGCATGCAAATGTTTTGCAAGCTGGCAGACCCAGGCTTGCCATTGGCTGTGGCCACACCATGCCTCTAAGTCCCCGTTCCCCATCAATAACGAGTATCCCATATCTCTGGACCTTTAGTCTCCCAAACCCAAGTTCAGCATTAGTGAAGATAAGTACTAAGTCATTTGATACAGGTGAGTCCACTTCTCAAACTGAAGTCCTTGCTTTGCTTTCAAGATACCTCCTTTGATCATGCTGGAAATAAGAGACTCAAGTTACTCAAAGGATAAGTTTTTAGGTCTGTTGATCATATGAAACCTGTCAAGTATATTCCTAGCTCTCCGTGCCTGACTTGAGAAATTAGCCCTTCTGTCCTGGACATCATTGCTTTTAGATCTTTAATGATCTCTTGCCTACTCCGACCTATTTAAATTTAGAAGCTTTCTTATGACTGAAATGCAAAGATGGTAGAAATGAAGGAAAAGGCTATGTATCCTTCCGTTCTTCTCTGATCTACTCTTTCTTGAAGAAAGAAGACACTGCTTCTCAAGTTCAAGTACCATAGTTGCCATGGTGAAGTCTTACTGAGTGTGAGAAGTGAAGCCAGTCCTGGGTACCAAGCAGCCCTAGGTTTAGCTCCTGAACCTCTTAGTTGGGGGCCTCGGGCAAGAAATTTGATCCTCTGAGCCTTAATTTCCATCCAACAAGAATAATAGCAAAGGCTTCTTGGAGGGATTAGAAAACTCAGGGACTATCTAGCCTAGCACCTGATATGATCAAGACACTCTGCTGATGCTGTTCACTGTCACCAAAGATGTATTTGTGGCATCAGGTACAATTCAGGACCTGTGAGGCAGTGGAGGCAGTGCAACTTAACATACCTCTACAATCATTTGGGAGATGCAAGAAGAGTTCTGGGTCCATGAGGGGGATCCCTGAAGAGGAAAGTCTCCCCTCAGTAGTCCAGCTGTGTATATGCAACACAGAGCATGTAAAATCTGTGAACAGAGGCAGCCCTTGGGGATACGGACTCCATCCAATTAAGAAGGCCAAGGCCAGAAAGCCAGGTGACTTTCCCAAGTCCTGCAGCCAGATAGCAACAGAGCCAGAGTTAAACCCAGTAAGGTCATAGCTGATGGTGCGAGACCTCATCCAAGGCTACTCTAGGACATAGGGACCAAGGTGGAATTGTATTACTGTCACTCCCAGCATTTGTCTCATTCCTTTTCCTACTTCCACAACCTTGTATCTGAGAGAATTCTAGAACTCATATCTGGAGGCTTCTTCCAAAGCCCCTTTACAAGCCTCCACAGACCCCATCCCTAGAGCTATTTCCTACATGAGTCTGGGACCATCCCACCTGCCCCAGCTCTAGGGACAGCCTTCGGCCACTGGTTACTAATGTGAGCACCAATCAGCATTTTAGGAAAACAAGTCTTCATCACAAGCATTAAAGTATTTCTATCACATGCACCTATAGACGTAAACTGCAGCAAAACTTAGGGACTTGGGTGTGCCACTGGTCCTGAGGTCATGGTTCCTGCCCGTGACCATGCAGAAGTATACAGTTCCAAAGGGACATGGACATATCAGCTCTTCCTGGCCTTCCACAAGACTGCAGCCAGTGGGAGATGCAGAAACACAGCAGTGGACCTTTCAGGACTCTAGAAGCTCAACACCATATATTTTTTCTCTTCTACACCCTGAGCCTATAAATAAGGAAACTGTAGCTCACAGAGAGAAAGTGATTTAGCCACTATCACACATCTTAGGAAAATTTCCCACTCTGCCTTCTGCTTCCTTTCATGAAAACAGTAAAGATTCCAAAGGGTCCAGTTTTCATTTCTTCTTTTTTCCAGCCTGCCTGTTAGAGGTCCATCTGCCTTGCTCAAAACCCTTTTGTTTCTCTGTAAAGTCATAAAGAGTATATTTGAGTCCAAAACAAGTTCTCTCAGCAAATGAGTCAGGAATATTTCTGGAATGGAGATAGGAGGGGTGTGAAAGACAGGGTATACCCCTAAATTAATTTCTTCTTTAGCTGAAAAAAAAAGCAAAATAGAGCATTGGGTTTAGACCTCGCTGAGAGAATTTCATCTTTTTTAACTTGGCTGTTGTAAGATAAATGCAAAGGACAGAGATGTTTGGTTTGAATTCTTTAAAGCTCCCCAGTTTGGTTTCACAAATTCACTTATCATTCTAACTGGGAGAATCTGCTGTCTGCACAGATAAAAGGAACTTGGGATGTGACCCACATGTGTGTGACTACAGAATGCAGCCTGCTTTTTCAGATACAATTGTAGCCTCCTTTCTTAGAAACCTACTAGCATAGATTTGAAGCCTCTGAATTCAAGTGAGTCCTCTAATGCCTGATGTTCCCAAGTCGGGCAGATAGATCGTATATACCTAGAATTGTGATCTGCCCCAGGCATACAAAGCCCAACCAGCTCCTCTATCCACTCCAGGCTCTCTCAGTGTTAAATTCAACAAACACTTATTTACTGAGCACCTGCTATACTAGACTATTAAGGAATGTAGGAGATGCCCCTGCTTGCATCTTAGTAGGAGAGACATTGCATGGATTATTCTGTCACAGGTGGGGGTTTTTCATGTCAACAACCATGATGGCGATGGGGGACAGGAGGTAGAAGCCATGGGCTTCAAGGACATTGTCCTGGTGTGCGGTTTTGTTTTCTCATTATTAGGTTTGCAAGCTATCATAGGATACTTTGCCACTAATAGAACTGCTACTTGTGAGTTTCTTATCCATCGTTTAAATGGAAAATATTATTATCCTGGTAGTAATAGCCAGGTTTCACTGGGAGGAAATCTTGAGGGTGGAGGGAGAGAGAAATAGTTGTATCACCCTTCCTGTCTCCAAGAATGTCTGTTGGTTATACCTGAGAGAGAGAGCGTTTGTACATTCTAGAAGATAAACAGGTCTCCTTCCTTTCTCTGGTAATAACTGCAATTTTGCTCTGCTGAAGTTTACATTCAAGCCGTGCAAAAACAAAACTATTAGACTTGTCAGTGGCATGCTAACAGATCATGTCTACCTCCGTCTTCTCTCCCCTCTTCCAGAGCTGAAGTTGTAATAAATGGCTCCTCACCGCCAGCTGTTGTTGACAGAAGTAATGGAAGCAGTAAGCACAACATCCAGCCAGCCTCATCCAAATGGAGACACAACCAGACGCTCTCTCTGAGGATCAGGTACTGGTAATTACCTGGAGGACACGAGACAGACCCGGCCCTCTTCAGAGCAAGCCGGCAAATTGCCGCACTCCGTCACCTATGGAAGCAGGAGAGAAATAAAATGTTTACCTCCCATGGAGGCAGGTTTCATCTGTAAGCAATCCACTGGGGATAAGACCTAGGACCAGCTGAACATCACGGCAGGGGAACACAGCCACTCGGGCAGAGGAGGGGCAACTCCCACTGAAGGTCAGGAGCAGACTGCACCTGGCAACAGACAGAGGCCACGGAGGGGCCTCTCCTGGCATCAGAAGTCCTTCCTTGTTGGCATTTGTGTCCCCATTCTGTGACAGTGCTCCTATTTGTCCATGGAGTACTGCTCTGTCCCACAGTCTTTGTGGTCTGAAAGGCTGTCTCTCCCCCAAGACGTGCATGAGAACCTGTAGGTGGGAGACCCAGAAACTGAGCTGACTTCTGACCTGGAAGAGAGTGCTCTTGTCCTGACCTGCACAGAGAGCAGGTTTGCAGGCTGCCATCATCCTGGGGTAGGGTAGCAGTTGATGGGGGAAAGTAGAGAAAAAATTACAAGTTCAACATGTTGGACATTCAGCTTTGATATCAGCCAGTATGATCTAGCCATATTCATTTGCAGGTGCTGTTCTGCAGGCCCAGAGTGCAAAGCTGAATCAGAATTATTAAGCAAAGAACCCCAAATATAAAGACAGGACAAGTTAGGTAGGTTATATACATTAGGTGGCACTATGTCTGACACCTAAGTGGAAATAAGGTTGTGCTGAGGTTCTACTCACTTTGTAACAGGTCTAAAAGGGCTGTCAGAGAAGGCTAGCCCAGAGCACTGGGTTTTTTAGGATAAACAGGAGTTTGACAGGTGCATACAGCTGTGTCCTGAGTGCAGAGTCTAAAGGCTGGTGGTGTGCTCAGTGCTGCAGGAACACAAAGAAGGAGGGTGCATGGGGACATGGAGTAAGGTTGAGGGGCAGCCAGGACCAGATGAGGAAAGCCATCAGTGTAGGGATGGAGAGAAGAGCCAATGACAGTGTGACCACGCAGCTGGGAGTTGTGTCCTCTAGGAAGACTCCCTGATGACACTGAAGCCCCTACCCAGTTTCAGGCTTAGTTTTAGAACCATGAAGGGTGTGGGAAGGGGGAGATATGGAGCTGAGGATCAGGTGGCCAAGAAACAATCTGCAGGAGCTGTTTGTGGGTGCCCCCTTTTGTCACCCCAACCCTTTCTCAGGACCTTTGCCAAGGCTAATTGGGTGCGGCCCCACCATCATCATGTTGCCTTGATGTACACCCCCTTTCATCAAGGCATCGTGGAGTCGGTGAGAGCAAGAGGTACCAAGAGGCAGCTAGCAAGAGGTACCCCTTGGACTGTGGTAACAAATAGGCACCATCTTGGTAGTTAATACAACACAAATCATTTACTCATCACTCTGGAAGCCAAGATTCTGGGTGCTCCTCCCTTGGACTTTAGGAGAGAATTTTTTTGTTGTTGGTGGCTCTAGGCACTCTTTCCCACTTCTCAGCACCTTCTCTTCCTCTGGGTCTGTGCCGTCTCCTCTTCTGTCTCTCCTAAGGACACCATTACTGGATTTAGGGCCCACCCAGGGAGACCAAAATGAGCTCATCTCAAGATCTGTAATTTAATTACATTTGTGAAGATGCTATGTCTAAATAAGGTCACATTCCCAGCTTCCCGGGGCTGGTACACAGCCACAATGGGCCCACCTGGGAGTGACATCCTCCTGCCAACGAAGACCACCCGCACCCACTCACCCCTCCTCCCACAATGAATAATGTATGCACAGACACACACGCACACACATGCATGCACACACACACGCACACAGCATTTGAAAAACACCAGAAGGAACTTGCAAACAGTCAGCCACCTCGGCAAGAACAATGTGCCTTCACCCAGAAGAAAAAAAAATGTCCCCCCATTCAGTCAATTAATCACCAAAATTATTCATGATGAAAGATCTTGCAAATTATTTGATATGGTATTTAATAATTGAGAGTAATTTCTCATAATTAGTTAGAAATTAATCCCCTCACAAAGGTACTGTATGTTTTTATGGGCTTTCTTGGGGCTCTCTTTTGCTTTTAAATACATTGGCATAAGTAATTGCAAGGGTTTCAGCAATTTCTAAGCTATATTACTGTGCTGAGTTGTACAATTCTTAACGAAGCAGAATAAATAACTCCTCTGTTTTCTAGCAAAAGGTACAAATTTATTTTCTCTGCACCATAGCCAGAGACACAGCTCACTCGTGTAGGAAGAAGAGGGAGTAGAGAGTGCCACATCATGCCAAGGGTTTTAAGTGACCCACAGCTGTGCCAGACCCTCCATAGCTGTTGCACATCAGAGTCACCTGACCCAGCCCCCTGGGAACCAGGATGTCTCAGGTGTTGGCTGCAGCTCCTGAGTTCCTCTTTCTTCCCAAGCAATTTGACATGCAGCACCTTAAAAATGCACATCTCAAGCTCCACAGGCTTCCAGGCAGCAGCGTTGCCATCTGTAAAATGGGCAGCTGACCCACAGGTTCTTCCATGTGCAAATCATGCACAGATACTGGGCTTCAGGCTCTGTGGACAGGAAGTCTGGGCTCCCTGTGTCAGCTTTCGGTCAGGGCTCACCACAGGAAGTGAAATTAATTCCAGTTGATCCGAAGACCCTCTTTCTTGCTCTTTGTGACTTGAATCATTTCTACAGGTCTTTTGGGTAACTCAGGCAGCCCTATAGGTAAAACCCTAGCTGGTATGCATGGGCTCCCAGGTCCTGGCTCGGCACTTTGGGTAAACCTCCCCTGATGATTCCAAGAGGACACCAGTCTCTTTCCTGTCCCGATTTTGTTGCTTCTCTCTGCTTTGCTAGGTGATTCCAAAACTTTCTCCCTCAATCAAAATTAAATTTCCCTGGAACCCAGAGCACTGTCCTTTAGTCACCTCTGTTCAGAAACAACACAGAGTAGCATTTTTCTGAGCTTCGCAAACCCCGTACTCACCAGGAATGGGGGAGATACAGGCCCTGCAGCATGAACTACACGGAGGGTGGCAAGTCCTTCAGTGCCTCAGAGGTGGGCGTGATGCTGTTCCCTGAATACATGCTCCCTTTCACCCTCTCTGATAGTCATGAAGGAGCCCCCATGAAGAGGACAGACCATGACAAATGAGGACATGTGGCACCTGGCTTGCTGCTTCTGATCAGAACTCCTTGAATCCCTGGTCACACTGAGTCCTACTAAGAGAGACAGAATAGGGTGCAGGGGGGTTGCCCAAGACTAACAGTTCCTGGACAGGGGACATCCGGCCCTGTACCCAAGCACCCAGGATAGCCGGTCACCAGTTTGTGAGGTTCCCATCCTTCTGGGCCCTCCACGAGGCCTAGGATCCATTCCCTAGGACATTTAAACTCTTGGCCTTTTTGCTGGGCTGCAGCCTCCCAGCAGGGTGACCTGGGCCAGGAAAATCTGGGTCACCAAAGGGCGTCTGGAAACATTGACTCTCCTCATGCATGTTTGTTTTTCATAGGAAACAAATTTTAAAGTTCCTGGATGCTGAGAAGGATATTTCCGTCCTCAAGGGGACTCTGAAGCCCGGAGACATAATTCATTACATCTTTGACCGAGACAGCACAATGAACGTGTCCCAGAACCTCTACGAACTCCTACCCAGGACCTCACCCCTGAAGAATAAGCATTTTCGGACTTGTGCCATCGTGGGCAACTCGGGGGTCTTGCTGAACAGTGGCTGCGGACAGGAGATCGACACACACAGCTTTGTGATAAGGTAACTCCCTGTGGGGGTGTTGTGGCCTGGAGAATGGATAAGTGTCCCAAGACGCTGAAACAGCACACATTGATTGCCTTAGTCCTTTTTCACAGCCTCAACTCTGCATCAGAGCTGCTTGAGAAGTTTTGTTCCCCATGTCCTGACTATACCTCCAATCAAGTAAATCATGTGGGGGACAGAGGGCAGCTGGGACTTGTGTGACCCAGGAGCCTGGGTGATTCTGAGGTACAGCGGAGGGTGAGAGTCACAGATGCAGAGCAGAGGCGGGCAGACTATGGTCTGTGAATAAAGTTTTATTGGAACACAGCCATTGGCTCATTTGCATACTGTCAGGGACTGGTTTCTGGCCACAGTGCAGGGTGGAATGGCTGGTAGAGTTCAAAAGCATCGCTGCTAAACAGCACACAGAATGCCTCACCTGCAGAGCTGGAAACTGGCCCTTTTCAGAAGTTTGCTGACCCTAAGACAGAGCCTGGTACAGAAAGTTGATAGAAAATTCTCCTGTGCTGGGCAATTGTTGGTCTAAATTTGCAGAGCTTTTTCCAGCGTCCTGGAAAGTGGAGTTCTACTAACAACTTCATCGCCCTGTAATCCAAATCTGGGAAGTCAGGGGGTGGACGCAAAACCCTGCGTATTGTACTTGACCTCCATTGTCTCTAAAGTATCAGTTCTCGCTTTTCAGTCATGAGGGACATTTGGACACAGTTACTCACCACCCTGACACCTGGCCCCAGGCAGACTCAGCAACAAGAAAAATAAGGCCTCTGCAGCCTCGAGTTTCATCCCACATAACTCCCAGCCCCAGTAGAACTGTACACCCCGGCTCACGTTTCTACTGGGATCGTCCTGGAGCAAAGAGATGCTTGTCCCGGTTCTTTGGGAGGCGGCCTGATCACAGAGTTCCCCCAACCTAAGGACATGGGAAGGAACCTGCAGAATGATCCTTGTGTCCCCTGAGGCTGGGAGCTCCCACAGCCTGCAGCCAAAGCTGCTTCTGTTCTTAGCCTTGGCGAGGTCTCTGGGGCGTTGTCAGAATCAATGGATCAGTCCATTTGTCCAAGTCCTTCAGTGTGGCAAGTTCACTGGACATTAATCGAGGAGAAAGGGACAGGTGGGGTGGATATTTAAAGTGAGGTTACAGGGTAAATACCTCCTCCTGGTAGGCTCAGGTCAGCTCCTCGAGTCCAGGCAGCATTGGAAGTAGCTTTCCTGACAGTGTCTCTCACTCAGACCATGCCAGGGATTTGGGAGGTCCGAACATCACCTGGCTTATAGATATGTGGAGGGGACTGAGACTGCATTTCCAGCCAGGACCCCAGAGCAGTGGCACACTGTTAATTCTCTGTCCACCCTGTGTCTCTACCTCACCCACCTCAACCCTCGTGTCCTCCCTAAATGGAAGCATTTACATCCAGTGCGGAAGCAATGTGACCACAGCTGCCGCCCAAATGCCCTCGGTATCCTTACTGAGACACAGTCTTAGAAAAGCCTGGACTCCACCTCCCTCTGTCCTCCTCCAGCATGGAGCCTCTACTGGGGACCAGGACCTGTGCTAAAAGAAACCTTCTTCCCCAGGAGTGTGCAGGGCCTGGTGTCTACACCCTTCCAGTGGACACCTCTCAACCCCCCTTAATGCCCCACCGCCGTACTGAGGGGACAGGGACAGGCCACACTTCTGCTCCCTCCTTCCCCTCTCCCCACAGCTCTCTCAGTCCCAGTTGTGTGAACTGCTTCAATCCCCCTTGCCCTGCTCATCTGACCTGGAGGTTAGCAGGGAAGAAGCCCAGCCCTGCAGAGGCTTTGGGGGGCGAGCTCAACCACTTGAGGCAGTAGGTAACTGAGACCTCGGCAGCCCTACACTGGCTGGTTAGTGACAGCAGCACCCGATCTCCACAGCCTGTGGCAGACTCCCGAAGGCTCCCCAGGCAGTACTGGCTCAGGTCAGAGATGACAGGACTGGAGGTGGGACTGGTGAGGGGGATATTTTTAGGGGTCCAGTTGGAAATGGTTAACAGGATTTTGAATCAGACACCCCTGAGATTGAGTCCTGGCAGACCCCTTAGTTTTCCAGGACTTTGAATACATTGCTTCCCATATTCTGAGCCTCAGTTTCCTCAACTGTAAAGTGAATGTGGTTGACACTGGGTCACAACAAAGTGAGCTGACCTGTGTTAAAGGACCAGCAAGGGCTGACATGCACCAGGGGCTCTGATGTACCGACTTTCTTCCTGATGATTCTGCTTCTCCCCAGTTAAAGTGGGCATACCCTGGCTTACATCACAGGCAAAAGTGGATGGTGTATTCCTGCATTTTATAACCTGGTGATGGCGGGGGGTGCGGTCCTATGTCTCCCATCTTTGCTCTGCACACACTTACTCTAACTTCTCAGACTTATTTCCTATATTCCGAGGACTTTCCCCACCCCCTGCCAGGCAGGAGCCTGGCCCCTGCCCCCATGCCATCCCACCAGCCCTTAGTCAGGTAGGGAGCCTGGCTGTGCAGGCGGTGAGTCCCCACAAGCCAGTCCTCCACTTAAGTGGCAGAGGCTGCCACTTAGGCATCCTCACTGGCTCAGCAGAAGGTCACTGCTGCCTTGGAGTTTGCTCCAATACTCAACTCCATTCCCTTGAATAAATCCCCTAACACGTGATCTTGTTGCCTGCTACCTAAAATGAAAACTTCTCACAGTACTGTCCTGTTTAAGAACCTTCGGCAGCTCCCTGTCACCCTCAGAACCAAGTCCCTGACACATGTTTCTTGGTGTGTTTCCATACCCGCCCACCCCTGACTCCTCCACAGGCTGTGCCCGGTTGGACCAAATCACTGGCCCTCCTCTTACCTCTCACAGCTGTTTCTCAACTCTCTGTCCTGGGGTACAGTTCTTGTGTCTAAAACTTCGTGGCATGGCATCGCGTTCTTGAACCGCTCAGTACCTGAAGGGAAATAACTTATAATAATAATATGTTCTTGGTCTCTGAGTTCTGCTGAGTCCAGGTGGGGGACTGGGGAATCTACATTTTCCACCAGTACCAAGGGGTCTCTTGGAGTAGCTGGTCTCCCTATGCCTTGGCCACCAATGGACTTCCTCTTGTCCACTCCCGATGGCCCTCTGTGGTCATCACCTGCTGCTCCTTCCCATAGGAGTCATCATCTGTGGAGATGACTTTCCCCAGCCACACTCTGAGCTTAGTGGAGGGAGCTGTGTGATCTCCCTCATAGCCAGAGTAACTGCAGTGCTTGGAAAGCCCAGAGGGGCTGAACAGAATTACAGAGGGAGAGAGTGTCGGGGAGAGCTCTGGACCTGGGAATGTGCCTTAGAGCCCTGGCTGTGTCACTGAACGGCCCAGGGCACACCTGCTAACAGCGTCGCCTGCTGTTTTGAACTGAGAGTAGCCCTCCTGCTCCTTTCCCCCTCCCTAGATTCTGAATCCATAGAGAAGCATCTTGCATCCTCCGGGCCTCATCTGTGTTAGGCGCTCAGTAAGAACCTGAATCTCCGTGCGGGGAGGGACGCCAAGAGAGGCCCAAGATCTGGGCAAGTGCCCTGGTCTACCAGTGAGGAGGAGGACGCAGGAGAGAGAGGCACCAAGACCAGGTTTCCAGAGGAGGCCGAGCTCTCCTCTCCAGGGCCACACTGCCTTTGTGTCCTGCAGGTGCAACCTGGCTCCCGTGCAGGAGTACGCCCGGGACGTGGGGCTCAAGACAGACCTGGTGACCATGAACCCCTCGGTCATCCAGCGGGCTTTTGAGGACTTGGTCAATGCCACCTGGCGGGAGAAGCTGCTGCAGCGGCTGCACGGCCTGAACGGCAGCATCCTGTGGATCCCCGCCTTCATGGCTCGCGGAGGCAAGCAGCGCGTGGACTGGGTCAACGAGCTCATCCTGAAGCACCACGTCAACGTGCGCACCGCCTACCCCTCGCTGCGCCTGCTGCACGCGGTCCGCGGGTGAGCCAGGCTGGGCGGGCTGGGCGGGCTGGGAGGGCAGCGCTCCTCCCCCTTCTCCTCCTCCTCCTCCTCCCCTTGCTGCCTTTCCAAGCCAGCTATGACAGGGTTATGTTGAGAATCATCCTGAGGCTGCATCCAGGCTCAGTGGGACAGAACAGAGGCTATGAATGTGGGATGGGAGAGGCCATCCAGGTGGGGGATTCTGAAGAAAATAGGGATCAAATGGATTGGCTTCTAATACATCACCTTAATCTCTCTAGACTTGAGTTTCTTCCTCAGTAAAATAGGGATGGGAAGGATAAGCGTAAAGGAATGTGGAGACTAAATGAGGCACTGGAACAGGAAATCCCGATACCGTGAGGAAAATGGCAGGAGAGACACTCGGGGTTACCATCACCATCCATCCGCTCTGCAGCGTGGAGGTGCAGCAGCAGGGGCTGCTGATGGGCTCAGTGTAAGGGCCCTCAGGGGTGAGGGAAGACGAAAAGCCAGGATGAGCAGGACAAGAGGAGGCTGAGCAAACAGGTGGGTGGTGGTGCCGTGCCCTGGGATAGGACAGCCTGGTGGTGCTTGTGTGTGTTTGGGGTATTGAGAGGAAGAGAGTTCTTTCTGCAGCATAAGTTTCAAATGCTTGCTACAAATACATACCATGCTTCAACTTCAACTTTGAAGCTTTCACCCAGGCATCTAACTGGCCAGCCAGCTGCAAGGCAGACCACAGCCTTGTCCCAGGAATGTGGCAAAGCTCGGTATACCAACTCCTCGCCAAGGGTCATTGGGTACTCTCCACTGGGCCTCCTGTTAACACTAGGAAGCCTTTTGAGCTATCCACAGAGGACTTTTTGTGCCCATAAAGATGACTTTGATAGTACTCAAGCCTAGGATCAATATTAGACTCATTTTGGTGGGTATGGACCCAGGGAACCCACAGCCCCCCACCAGAAAACATACCTAATGAGATATTTAGTAAGGGACAACCATATCTGTGGCTGATGGAGTTAGAGTGGCGTCTGCCTGGACAGGGCTCCTGGACTACATCGGTTGACCTGTCAGGCTCCCTTATACCTGTCACAGAAAGGGGCAGCCACAGCAACCCTCATCTCATGGACTGAGGCTCTGTCTTAAATGTTGTTTCTTCCTGAACTGAAGAAACTCTTGAAATACTTTGGGGGTTCAAAGGGCTTACAGAAGGAAAATACTGCACTTTGGTAACCAAAGGAAAAGACCCAGGGACAAGCAATGGGCAACTACCTGGCAGAAACTTATGCAGCCTGAGCTATTTCCAGCTATAATTGACTCACTTTCATCTGTCAAAATAACATTAAGCACCAGTAATAAGCCCTTTAAACAAACAGGCTGTTAATGCTGAGATCCTGGCATCTCCCTCTGCAGGAGCTCCAGGGAGGAAAGGCTGCAGAAAGATGAATGAGCTGGCCTTGCTTTCAGCAAGTGGAGGAGGTGGGAGAAGGGGCTGCTGGGGCCTGGAATGTCTTCACTAATGTCCTTTCCCTTCACGGGGGCCACTGGGCCTTAGAGTGCTGTGTTCCACAGACTCTCTGAAGAGTGGACAGGATGACAGTGTGCACGGTGAGAGGACAGGCTTGCTCCATTCTGCCTTGGTGAGACCAGTTTCGTGTGCACTACCAGGGGGAATGAGGCTGGTGAGGGATGGAGAATGAAGGACACGGGAAAACCAAGAGATTGTGGAGAAGGCTAAATAGGATGCTGCAACCTGGCCGAGGCAATGCAGCCTTGTATCCAAAATACAGATACCTCTGAGGGTTCAACTCCTAGTCCCACTACTTGCTGGGTTGTGCTGTGTGTCTCCCTGACACCAAGGTCTGCTTTCTTTGTCTTCTCCCTGGGGAACCCTACTATCTGCTTTAGAACATGTGTCCCATGCTACATGGGGGCTAGGGGGGGGATCAGTCAGGGGAGCTACTGTTATCATAGCTGCTACCACCGAGAACCTGGAAGTGATTAAACTTGTCATACAACTCAGAAATGGTAACCCAGGGCAGAAGTGGAGCCACAAGTGAAAACGCACAGGACCACAGGATTCTATAGGAGTCAGAGCAGTGGACTAAGTCACGCTAGTCACAAGCTCTTCACTGTGGAACCCAAAATGTGTAGTTTGCAGACTAATATTGTTTCCTTCTTTAAAAATCCACTGCCACTACATCCAATGGGTAGGAGATGCAAGGAGACCAACTTCTTGTGATAAACTATGCATAAAATTAAATTTATCATTTTAATAATTTAAGGGTATAGAAGAAATTTAATCTTAAAATATCCTTAAAAGCATTTTATATAAAGGACAGTCTCTGAATGGAGTAAAAAAATGCAGAGAATAGGAGAAGTTGTTTACAAGGGATATATTTGATAAAGGATTAGCATCCAGCATATATAAAGAACTCCTACAATTCAACAGAAGAAAAAAACACAAGCAAACAACCCAATTCAAAACTAGACAAATGACTTTAATAGATATTTCTCCAAGGAAGATATTCAGATAGCCAATTGGTATATGGCAATATATTTAATGTCACTAACACAAAACCATAATTGAATATCACTATACCCACCACCATGGCTGTTATGAAGAAAAAATAATATATTAGCAAAGATCTAGAGAAATTGAAACTCTTGTATTTTGCTTTAAATTTTGGAAATGTCAATTAAGAATCAATTTTTGTGACACTCTAGGACTTCATTTTGCAAATGAAGACTGTGTGTGTGTCTGTGTGTGTGTGTGTATGTGTGTATGTGTGTGTGTATGTGTAGGACCTTTGCACTGAGTTACATTCACAACATTTTTGCTTATTTTTTATTTTTGAGAGAAGGCTTCTCTAAGTTGACCTGATGGTACTCAAACTTTCAAGCCTCTTACCTCAGCCTTCCAAGTCCAAGTGCTAGATAAAATGAGGGATTTAATGCTTAGATAAGGTAGGTGATTGAGACAAAGTCTCCCTCCCATCAAGAGGCACAACCAGGAAAGGAACCACATTTTTTGACTCTCATGTAGGGCACCAGAAGGAGCATAAATTTGCACACACCCACTTCTGGTCGTGGGCAGTGGACAGAAGCAATGAGAACTTTGTGGGCTGGAAGTTATCACATTGGTTAGCAGCACATCAAGACTCTGCATGTGCACCGTAGCTGCTCAGAGTGTGAGATAGCTTTGCCACCAGGTGGAAGAAGCTGAATGCACAACACCTGGGTTTCACACCATCTTGTTGAATGAAGTCCTTTTGTCCCTTGATCAGGAAGGAATCTGGCTTAGCCCTCACAGATTTGCTTGCCTGTTCCTTTACTTCTAAGGAATTTTTTTTCTTTAATCTGAGAAATCTTTTAGAAAAAAAAATGCAGACATGCCCAAACAAAATTCACCCTTCACCCTTTCTGATTGCTGGGGTAGTCTACAGCCACACCACCCTGAGTGCACCTGATCTCATTCTTGTGTGAATGCTGGGTGGAGGGTTTGAAGTAGGAAGTAGGAGAGCTAGATAAGGAGCACACATTGCCCTGGCTAAAGCTCATGTGCCAGATACCGGGCTAAGCCTTACCTCATATAATTCGAGAACTACTACCGTTATCTCCATTTTAAAGACAGAAAAACTGAATCTTAGGGATTAACTTTCTTAAGGTCCTGGGACAGATTTAGAACTTCCCCCATGGCCCCTGATCACACAGCCCTCTCTTGCACATAGCCAGGAATTAGTGACGGGGCTCTAAAAAAATGGTAGCAGGAAGGCCAAAGCTGGAATAGGTTTGAGCTTATGAAAGAGAGTATCTCAGGGGCAGAGCCCTTACCTAACATGTGGTGTCCTGGGTTTGGTTGCCAGAACCATAGGAAAAAAATGTATTATATTTCAGGTAAGAACCCAGAAAATAGGGGAAGAGATGGTGAGATTATAGAGGACAGAGGTGAAATGAATGCCTCAACTCCTGTTCTGTACTTTTTTTCTCTTAGCAAAGGGGAGAGGTCTTTTACCTGGGTAGAGTAATGAGGTCTTTGTATCTTTATAATCCTAATTTGCAGCTCTGAAACCAGAATTTCTCATCATGGTCCCTAGACCACCAGCCCCAACCTCCCTTGTGTGCTGGCTAGAAGTACACATTCTCATAGCCACCCCCGACCTATGGAATCAGAAACTCTGGAGTCCTGCAAGATGTGCCTTAATAGGTCTTCCAGATGATTCTGGTGCATGGTATATGTTGGAGAATCACAATACAATACAGTTAGGACTAATTAACATTCCAGGGAAAACCTGCAGTCAGACCCCTGAGCAGTTGGCCTTGGTCTTCTCCTTATGGGTAAACAGGAAAATCTGGGCAGCAACCTCGGCCCCAATTTCTAAACATGGGGACACCATGGACATCTATGAGCTTTCTATCCATCTCAAGGAGACTTTTAAAAGGTTATCAGTTCAGTGGCTCATAAATACTTAAAGATCGGGCAGTAAATGTCATAAGCAGAATGTGATGCCTGGGAAATAGCAGAGCCCACTCACAAGGTGAGGGGGGCAGGCAGGGATGTGTGGGATTTGTGCAGTCATTGTATATCTGGAATTAAGTCTGCTACTTTGACAAGGCATTCTGTGGATGACTTGGAGACCTGTGACCCAATCAATAATTCAGGGACTAGGAGACAATTTCAGCCCTTTTTTTCAGAAGGAAACTAAGGCACAGTTAAGTACATTGTCCCAGGTCGTGCAGATGAGGAGGAAAAAGGAGCTGGGATTGGAATCAGTGTATTGTATCCAAAGATCTCTGCTCTTCCCCTGGCAACCGCTTTCTCATGTCCTGTTCCCCACTGGTGTCCAAAGGATGCTAATTAATTAGATTAGTTTCCACCTCATGGACATCTCTAGAAACCTGCCACCAGGCTCAATGCCTGTCCCCTTTTCTGCCAATGACTTAAGTGAGGCTACCAATAGTCTGCTTAGCAAATTCATCAGCAACATGAGTTTGGGGGAATTCTCAGTATATACTATCTC